CGGTCACGGTGGGCCGAAAAAGTATACGTAGGTCCCGCTGTACACACGTGCGTTGTTTTATGTCGAAAAGCAAAGCCTGGCTGTACTATTAATTAAAATGCGATCTATTAATAACTTGTAATTTTCTTCACTAACATGTATTACCATTATCCTACGTGTATTATGCGAATAAAATTTCATCGCTAATTAATGTGATTTAGTTGCGTCAAATTAATGCGAGGAAAATGGAAATCTATTCTTGTAAAATTTGAGATGCTAAAATTTCTAAGGCCTATTTCAATTAATGCTTCAAGCCAAATGAATGAAAAAAACAATCCATTAATATTTTATTGCGCTTTTTTTTAAAATTAGCGCTTTTTGTTTCGATTTCAGAATTTTAATATATGCATCAGAATGGTATGTAAAGGATATCAGTGTTAAAATAATTACAATTATTAAATATGAATGCATAAAAAGTTGCAAAAAATACAAATGAAAAGCTCGAACTATTTCATTTTGTAATACATTGTAGGTGTGACAATTGTAATTGATTTCATACAATATCCCTCTACTTCTATCTTGAGATTTGTTTAATTCGTAAAATTTAGCTTGAAACTTTATGCAAATTATGATATCATTAAATTACATCATAATTTGACAGAACAATTTCAAGATTTGAAAAAAAAAAAAAGGGTATATAACTCTGAGAATATTGAATTTATAATATATTTCAGCTTTATATTGCGATTTAAGTTATGAATTGTATTCAAAAAATGTGCAAAAGCGTTAATGAGAATCTTAAAATAAAATTTCATATAAGGTAACTATTTAGAGCTTTCCCCAATTACCAACCATAAATTTCCAATATATTCACGTCCGGGACAGTTTTTTTTCACTAGAGACTTTCATAAGATCCTCAATTTCTAAACATATTGGTGATCTATCGAAACATTTCGTTTAACATGAAATGATAAAAGAGGGTCCGGGTAGTATTGCGAGTATTCGGGAGAGGTGTATGGTAATTAGGTGGTTGGAGTTTCGGGGAATAGTGTAACTTTTGGAACAATGTGAGGTTTACTAAGAAATTCGCGATTACAATTTTGTCTTTCCTTTGTTTTTTTATGCTAAAGATGTCTTTTTTTAACTAAAGGGAAATGAGAATGAGTAGGAAATGCGAAAATAAAATGTAATAGAGATTGAGGAGATGAGGGAACAATCATTGGTTACTGTTGTATTAGTGGTAGAAAGTAAAGTTATATCAGTTAGAGCAGAAAGATTGTTTTCAGGTTGTTTTTTAGCAAATTACTCACTAAATAGGTAGATATGGATATAATGTTAATTAATTACTTGCTTCTACTTTATTTTTCAATCATCTCCCTAATATCCGTCTAGAAGTACGATTCCTTCTGAATGTTTGACTTTCATCTAGCTATGATTGTAGTATAAGGATTAGTAATAGATAATAATGCTTCCATTCTTTCTTTATCTCCCTGGTAATTCACTTGTTACGTAAGACAGAAATATGAGAGAAAATCAAATAATGATCATTAGTACATTAGTATTCTTGCACTTCAAGTACTCTGAAGTATTATTTGATGCAAATGACAATTAGTTGTAATGAATAGTTACAATATTCTTTGTTGTCATTCTAAGTATTATAATTTTTTTTCTATAAATTCAAGAATTACAGATGACTTTATTGGACAACGATCATTTCCTAGTAGAATTGGCAAAATTATTTCAAAAATGTCGAACTTCTACTCAACGCATAACTATCACGCTGAAACATTGTAAGTATTTTTACTGTTTATCTGCGGAATACTTTGTTTCCATATTGTTTTTTTTAACGTTAAATTGGAGATTTTAATGACTAATGCAATGCCACGATATCACTAAAAGCTTGACATTTTTTGTTATTTTTGAACAAAATTCTATTTTCCAAAAATTCATTTTTTTTTTGGAGATTTTTCAATGATATTAGATTCGGTTCTTTGAAACGGTCCATATTTCTTTAATGCGTATTATTATATTCACTGTAATTACTGATAACGGGAGATGGATGAATCCAATTAGATAATTATGACTATATCCCGCAAAATATTCATTGCTGCATTATCAATAAAGTATAAGGTTTTTGAACTACTACTAAATGTTGTTCTACTACTGTTAGATGTGCTACATCGATGTTTTCATATTCAGCTCAACTTATGTTACAAAATTCTTTTGAATGGCTTGCGCTTTTTTAAATTATATAGAAGTGTGAATTCATTTCAAAAAAAAGAATGAATGAATTCTTATTGGCAAAAGGAGTTAAAAAACAGCTCTTACTGTGTACTAAATACTACTTACAGTGTAAGTTGTTATCCATCTTTACTATTTGGTAATTAATTAATCCATTTGTTAATTTGTTTTTTATTTACTCGTTTATTCACTAATTTTTTTTATTAGGTTTTTTCAGATGATGGGAGGACGAAACCTTATCCAAGAAATGAAGCACAGCAGTCGCTAAAAGGCGAAGATCTTTGTCTATTTCGAGTAAAACTTGGTAACAGGAAAATTAGTACTGTGGTAAGGATAAAGGAATGATTCGGAGTATTAATTTTGTTTTTTTCGAAATGAGATGAACTTCATAAATATTTCTACCACAAATTAACTAATTTCCCATTGATCATTCATTTGTTTTTTTTTGATTCATAATGTGCATTTGCTGAATTTTGTTCTGGGTGATGTAGTTAGTTTTAAAGTTACTGGGATTCATTTAAATGTAAAATATATGGAATCTCTCCCCCTCTAAAGATATATATACGATTAAATACTTTTATTAATTCGTATATTTATCTTTCAGGTCCATGCAAAAGAAGTGAATAAATTCCAGTTGGCATATGCTGGTATCTTGAAAGCAAATATGGATAATTTGAAGAAACGTGAGCGGAAAACAGCAATGGAAACGAAGATTAAATCAATAAGTGTTTCAAAAAGTGCGGTAAAGATTTAATTAACGCGTGTAAATTTCGGCACTATAATTTCGAGTCGTATACATTTCTTTGTTTCTGGGCGAATCATCTAAATTATCTAGTTTCTTGGCATATAATAAAATTTTTGTTGGCGTAGTTGATGCTTAAAAATTTAGCACTTTCTTAAAGTCTTGTCACTAAGTATTATTTTTTGCATCTTTTCGTTTCTGTAACTGTTCAGTAATCTGTATGATATTATAGAATAACCATTTTGCTAAGAGAGTGCCACTGCATTAGTGTTTTCATAGCAGAGCAGATAGGGCTAGATTGATGGTCTTCGTGACAACTAGAACGAGCATTTCTTCCTGATTCTTCCTTATAAGTCATTGTCTCCTATATTATGCCCAGCCTTATTTGGTACGTCAAATTTAGTGAGATTAGATGTATATTATCTTCGTTAAAGGGAAGTAAAGTTCACCGTTCTTGGTGAATAATTTTCCGTTTATTCTGTTGTTTTATGCACCGGTTAGAATTAGTCGGACTCATAATCAATTTATCCATTAATAAGAGAAGTTCGTATTCGCAAAGGAAGTTTATTTTTTAGTGGCTGGATTTCAGAAGTAATACTTTAATTTCAGGTAATTGACTAAATTAAAAAAAAAATCAATTAAGCCTTTGATAATAAAGTAATGCTTCGTAATGTTGCATAATATCGGTAACACTGCTTTCCTAGCCAATGATAACATATTTGTCAAAATGATGTGACCGACATATCGAAGGTCCGGAAAGATTTGTTTCATATTAGGCTGCCCAATCATTCCTCTTGTTAAGGTGTTCACAGGTTAGTGACATGTTTTGATATATAATTCAGTGGAAAAAGAAGGAATTGAAAGGAAGTGATATTATTTCGCATGGGATTTGAATGCTGAACTTGAAAAATGTTGTGCTAACTCTAAAACATGGGATTTTCCTCTGCATTCGTTACAATCAAAAAAATAATTAGACGGAAAAACTATTTCATCTTCCAACGGTGAAATCGTTTCTTCTTTTTATCCTGTAGTACGATAATTTGAAATTTAATGTTTGTATAATGTAATTTTTGCAATAAAACAGAAAATTTTCCTTTATTTGCATATTATTTGCAAACAGTAATTACAGCATGACATCTTACAAAATAATTATTCGTAAAAATAAATATCTGTCAGGAAATTTATGGAAAATTTTACTTTTCAACCATTTGACATTTTAATTTTCATTCGATCATTTTATGATATTCCACAAATTATTGCCATATTTTTTTCATAATCTTCAACATTCCAAGCATTTCGTATCTGACTGATTGCTTCGATTATCTTCTGAGCATCTTGTTCAATTTCATCAATTTTATCTTTTCCTTTAATAAATTCTTCGGGGAATTGTTCATTTAATTCATAGAGCTTTTTCAGGTACAATTTGATATCATTAACAAGTTCCGTAAGCTTTATTGCACTGGCAGTTGTGTTCACCTGAAACAGTAATGACTGATTCCATTATTAGAAAAATAAAATTTCACTGGTATTTCATGGGAAACAAAATTTTGAAATGGATAAAGTGGGACAAATTGTTATTCAGAGTTTACTTTCTTATATGATTAGCAAGAAAAAGTTTGTGTGATAACTTTTCCTAAAGTTTCGGGAATATTGTTAACCTTTGAACTTACAGTATTGTCTTCTTTCGACACATTTCAAGCCTGTATCATCAAAAGACATTTTGATTCTTAGTGATCGGTAAAATTATCATATGTTTATCGTGAATTTAAAAGGATCACAAGTTAAGAATGTTATGAATATACTATAAAGTATTTTATTTAAAAAAGTTAATTCAAATTATGCTTTCATTTAATTTCCACTTCAGAACGATTGCATTGATTTTAATGGGTCTTAAATAACATTTACTGATTAAAAATTTATGTCATTCACAAGAAGACATTTTGATGTTTGTTTTTTTGGATACAGTAATAAATTCTGATACATGTTTATGGTCGTAAAGTAATAATATTGAAAATATCGAAACACCAAGTAAAAGTTTCAAATGATGATAAAATTGCAGCGGAATTTTTGCAAAATCTTATCAGCGTGATAATATCAACACTGAGAAATTTAGTTGTCTTTTCCTTTTCCAATTCTAACAATTTCTAGAAAGCAGTAGCGTAATCATTTTCAATTAACTCAAAAACTGTATAACCCATAAATCAGTGATTCTTACTACGTACGACTGAGGGTTATCATTGTTATCAGTTATTAATTAAGTAAAGCATAGCTCTTCTTAATGCTACAGTGAATGGTTAAATCCATTATTTCTATTTTGTATCAGTTTCAAAATTCATTGGAGAACAAGTTAATGAAGATGAATGTTTATACCTATGTCGTGAAAATTTTGATTAGTTATTGGAAGTATTGCTTTCAGATCAAATACAATAAGGTAATTTTATAAGATTTGTTAATGTTTTAGTACAGTAATCGTAATGTAATAATATTATTTCTTAATTCTTCCTTTCAATATTCATCATTTTTTAAAATTTCATTAAAAATTTTATTGGAATAAAATTTACCTGAATATTTGCTCCATTTATTTCTCCAACAAACCAGTAACAGAGCATCAACAAACAAATTGTTTGAATGCAACTCATCTTCTTATCAATTCCAAATGAAATTTGTAAATTCTTTCTTTTTTTGTCCTTAAAGTTTTTTGTTTTTATCCAAATTTTTCTGTGCAAATATGCATGATCACTTCGAGTATAATTTCATATCACAAAAATTATGAATCGAGGAGTAATTTTATTGATTAATACCGAGACTTTTAAGTAATTAATTGAAGACTTCTAAGAAATTAATTTCATGCCAGGACATATGATATGAGATTAATTGCTTAAAAACATTGCCAACAAACAAGTAATATGAATAAGCTTAATTCAGTAATTTGTTAATACAATGAAAACCAATGAGCAAGGCAAGTAAAAAAAAAAAGTGGGAAAGGGAAAATCTCTGTAACTTTTTATGAGACTAATGCATCATTTAATTTTAGAATGTGTTAATAATGATAGTGTTATCAGTTAATTTCAAATGTCATTAATTCAATTCTAAATTTCAAACTAATCACTAATTATAACATTACGATTAGAAAAAGGAAATGTAATTTTATTTTAGATTTATACTTTATATTTAGGAAAATTTACAAAAAGAATGCAATCCTACAAAAATAAAGCACAGATAATGCATACGAAATTTCATATAATAATCATATGCTTAAAATTTTTAAAAATATTTCTAGAATAATAAAATAAAAATAACAAAATTAAAAAGTTAGTCGCACTTTTTATTCAGATAATAATTTAAGAAATAAACCTGGAATATTTTATAGTATTTTGTTGTTTGCAACATCATTCAATCCTAATATATGCATATATATATACATATATATATGTATATATATATATATATAATATATATATATATATATATAATATATAATAGCGGATTATCGAATTATATGTGAAACAATTTGAATTCTTTATTATCCATCAATTAAGTGTAAATTAAACAGGATATTTGTAAAAATTATGCGGGAATTATTGTTAAACTTTAGCTATAATCCATCCAGTAACAGTGCTAATGAAAGATATTTTAGCGTGAATTATTTTAAAACTGTAATTGCAAATTTATCCAGCACTAGTCATTTATTATTTATAAATGATATTTGTAAAATTTTGCAATTGTTTCCATTTATGTATTAAAAATAACAATGAAAACTAGAAAATTTAAAAATAAAATTACAAATAAAAGTGTAGTGGAAAATTTGGAATTATACTTTAATATATTGAAATTGTTAGATGTTCATTTTTCAACTATGTATTAAAAGCGTTGAACTTCTTAAGCATTTTTTTTTCGTTTTTTTTTTTTTAACCGGATATGTATCTGGTTAAAACCAGATGTGATTATTTGTCGAATTTACATTGTTAGAATGATTCAATCTAACATATTACCATCGTTTTGAAATCTTTTTTAGCTTAGACTTTTTTGTAAATTTTATAATTTATTTGTACAACAATTTATGAAATATTTTCGTTCAATTTTATTTAGAAAGGATAATTTTTATGATATGTAGTTTTTAAAAATCATTTTCATTCCCACATATTATTATTA